GAGAGTCAGTCGCTCGCAGGCCATTGGACTGCCGCACCGCAGCTCAGGAAAGCACACGCTGCTGCCGGCCAGCCCCACTGCCACCTACACCATCGCCGGCGACTCATGGCAGCCCAGCTCCAGGTGGAGTTGTTGTTCACCATCTTAGATGTAGAGGGCGCAGCATCACTGGCCCTCATGTGGGATCTGACATGGGGCCCTGCTGCTCAGAGCCGGCGTCCCAAGCCAACTCTTACAGCGCGCCACTCGACCGGTCCGATCTCAGTATTTCTTTAAGTATTAAAAAAAGAAATGTGGTGATAGTTATATCCAATATGGGTTTTCACTGATTGAAAATAAACTATCTATACTTTCAATGTTTTATTTGTGGAGATAGGCTTCCAAGTAGCAGCCTGGAACCATTTCTGTATTTTGTCATTTAGAAACAAAACAGAACAATTATAAAAACTTGTTGATTTTTTAAGTACAAACTTGCAAGAATTCAAAATTTAAGGTTAAAGAGTCAGTTCTTATCTGTTTGGTGCCATAAATATAATTAATTTCAATCTATATTATAAGATAAATTCATTTTAACATATGACAATGATTTATCTCATGTTAATGTGTTGTTTGTTAAACAGAAAAAGGCCGAAATTTGTTTTAATGTATTTGGGTCAATGTATTATTAAATAAATTATATGTGTAATTTTAAAATAAAATATATTATACTTAAAAATCTCTCCTTTCTCATACCACACAAAAAAAAATATTTCAAAAATTAAATGAGGTTGGGAAGTGCCGATTCTCTCTACATGACCTTTGGGACACCTACTGTTTGTAAATGAAGGCCGCTGATATAGTAAATTTACTTTTTTTTTTTTAAAGATTTTTATTGGGGATTTGGGGGGATGGGAACAGTGCTGGGGAATTGGGAGAAGGGGAACAGACAAGTTGCTGTTCTTTTGTTCTTCAGTCTAGTTGTGGAGGACGTTGCTTCACTGGCCCAAGTTGGCACCATCATTGCACTCTTCCCGGGCAAGGCAGATCAGTCACCGGCTTCTGGACGGCCGCTCACGGCAGCTGCTGGCCCCTCACGCTGGCTGCTGGCTACACACGGTAGCCCATGGCAACCCACTGCCACAGGGGCTGCAGCCCACGCCATCGCCAGCGACTCACGGCAGCCCAGCTCCAGGTTGAGCTGCTGTTCAGCATCTTAGCTGCAGAGGGCAGTGTCACTGGCCCTCATATGTGGGATCCGAACCAGGGCCCTCTGGCATCCCAAGCCAGTTCTTAACCATCGCGCCACTCGGCCCACCCAGTAAATTTACTTTTAATATTCTCATAAATCTCTAAAGGCAGCACGTATGAAAACTGAGGCCCAGTGTGTAAAATTGCAAAGCTGGGATTATGTGCTGCTTCCACAACTCCAATAATAATGTCTCTATGGAAAATTCACTCAGCCAAAAAGTGGTATGCCAGATTTGCATATTTCATTTCTCTATATTCTCCTTACTCCAATCTAAATCACCACCATCAAAACAAGGTTAGGGAGAAGTTCACACACTTATCACCCAGACTAGTGCAACAGCTCTTCCCACTCCAAACCATGTTTCATATTGATTTAGTGATCAACCTCCATATCTCTTAAGTGTAACATTCCTACACACACACACACACACACACACACACACACACACACACACACACACACCTTTCAAAGTACTCAAAGTCTTTACAATGAGGCCCAAACTCCTGAGCCTATGATTCAAGGTCCTCCATGATCTGATATTAACCAAATAATCACAGCAAGAAATGTAAAATTACAATTGATGTGTATCCTATGAAAGAGGGTTATATAATAGAAGCACGTAACTAGGGTTTTTTTGAGGGGTAAGCACAGCAGATGGGGCTTCCTTAAGTTCCTTGAGCTAAAAACTCCAGGACATTCAGAGTTAAACAGGCAAGAGAGAGTACCACCACAGGTCATTCACATGTGCTACTCCTTCTATCTAGTTTTCCACAACATAATTCCTATAATTTAATCCTTTTTCTTTTTGAAAGTAAGATCCTCTAGGAAGTCATTCCTGACTATCCCATACCATGATCTCACAGTTACTCTTTTCTTAGCACTCATCACATTTAAAAGTACTCTTTTTGCTTGATTTCTATATTGTTCACACATATAAGATACAAAAAGGCAGGGACCACATCTGCTTATTTGTAATATCCCAATGCCAACACAGTTGATGGCGCTCAAAAAAAATCGTTAGATGAATAAAAAGTAAGGGCTATATCTTAGACCAATGGCTCTCAAAGTATTATGGTTTAGAGACCAGAAACATGACATGGGTTACTTGTTAGAAATGTAAACTCTCGGGCCCTGCTCCAGACCTAATAAATCAAACTCTAGAACTGACGGCCTGTAATCCCTCCAAGTGATTTTGATTCATGCTAAAGCTTGAGAACACCTCTTAGGCATCCCAACTACAGTCATGCACTGCATAACGACATTTCAGTCAATGACTGCATATACTGAGTTGTTGGAAAAGTCATGACACGTTTTTGCAACGAAAAACATAAAAAAAAATGTCATGACTTTTCTGACAACCCAATACAATGGTGGTATACCATATAGCCAAGGTATGATAGGCTCTTGTATAAGTGCACGTTATGATGTTCAAACAATGACAAAAATCACCTAAAAATACATTTCTTGGAACATATCCGCATCATTAAGTGACACATGACTACATTCAAAACACAATTTTGAAAAATTATGATGACAATTTTGTAAAATATAAAATACAAAAAGCTTTACAATAATGTTCAACTATTTACTGAATGCCTACTACACATATTGCACAAGGCAATTTTTAAAAAGTAATTTCTACAGCTAATTCTCAGTTCATAATAAGCTAATGTTTTGCCTCCTCTTCACCTCTCCCATATATAACTGTTACTCTGTGTTTGTGTTTTAACAAGCAAGGAAAAATCAAGCTAGTTGGAGGCAAAGTCTAAACCATAATCATGCCTAATATATCTTTCCAGTCTCATTTCCTGCTATACATGTTCATTCCCACATCCCTCCATGATAAAAACAAAGGTAACCCATCTATCTATAATACATCTTAAATACTTTCTATTCTTATTCACAACAAAGCATTCTTTCCCTTCCCAAAATGATCTATATAAATCTTACTCATCTCTTAGGCCCAGCTCAAATGATACCTTTGGATCCAAAATACTCAAAAAGGAGTTCATAACTTCTCCCTCTGTACTCATCCCTTCATTCTCAGTGGGAGGGCCAACACTTCCAAAAATCCAACAGTTTGGTGTTTTAGCTAGGACAGCTCTTTATTATGAAGAGATCATCACATTTTACTAAATTTCCTTTTTGTACCAAAAATAAAACTCAGTCTTTCTGTGTAGTCCACTAGTTGCCTAAAATTTCAGCTTAAGATTATACTTGTCAGATAGCAAAATGAGACCATAAAGTGAATTATTCAAGCACCTACTTGGCCCCGGCAATGGGAATAAGGCACAGTTGCATCCTAGAACTCACATCTCAGGGGGAGAAGAAACAGGTTAACACACAATGACAGTGTGATGGATTGTAAATGTGACGAGTTGTTATGGAGGCAGACACAGGAGAATGACAACCCCAAAATGCAGAGTCAGTGAGTTAGGGAAAGTTCACAGATTAATTTATTATAAACCACTTTCCTAAAAAAACAGATTGGGGGAAAGGGGGATAGAAATTAACATCCTAGGAGAACATAATTACGAGGACTTAGATCTCACTAGACTGTCTTATTCTCCCAGAGACCAAAATTTAGATGGCTGCATATGATGGAGCAATGTGTTCATTAAATATACTGCAAACCATGTGTGACCCAACTCAATGAAAAAAACCAACTGAAGCCTCAACCTATTTTGAAACAGGAAGGAGAAAATTTGCAAAAATACGGGTCTCCCAACTAAAGGAAGAGCGCGCATAACAAATGAAGGTATTAGAAGGTATTAAAGAGAACTGTCACAATCACAGTGCCAAGCTGATTTCAGTCTTCAGAAGCACCGGGTCTCTGCCTCTAAACAAAAACAAACCATTTGTTTTGAGACAACAGTCAACCCTGTAAATAAATATTTTTAAATTTCCCAAACTGTATCTCCACATTAAATGACGGTCAAAATAAAAATACATTCCAAAACATTTTTAATGATTTCTGTCAAAAGGCTTAGATATGTCATAAAGTCATAGTATGCATGCTCGCCTCACTCCATCCATCACTCCAAATCACACTATCAGTCAAGTTTTGCAATGACACTAGGTAATAAGGCTTCCAGGCTCTCCCCAACACCTCCAACCTTCCCTCTTCCCCTCTACAAAGAGAAAAGGAAGAAGAAAGCCAAAGAATCCTATCTGCCCGCCCTACAGCTCCTGGGAAGCAATCGCCCTCAAATTGTTGGTGCTTAGACCCCTGAAGCCCGTAGAAGGAAATGGGGACAGCTGTGAGAGCGGGGGTGGGGGGGAGAGGATGGCCAATAAAGGGGAGAGGAAATGTGGGTGGTAGAGGACGAAGGGAGAAACGTTACGGAAAGGAGGTGGCAGTGCACATAAAATGGTGAAAGGGGGCAAGAAGCGGGAGCAAAGAGCAGGAACGAAAAATAGGGAGGGAAAGACGGAAAGAGTAGAGATCCCAAAAGAGAGAAAAGGCAAAATGGAAGGAGAATTGGAAGGTCGGGTTAAATGACTAAAAGAGGGCGGCAAAGGGGAACGCAAATGAGGCTGTCAATGGGGTGACAAAAAAAGGGTGTCACTGGGAAGCAGAGCGATAAGGGTTTGTGTCACCACAGCAGGTGGCCGGGGAACACAGGGAAGGAGGAGCGGGCCACCAAGGGGGTGGTAACAAGGGGGTGAAGTAAAGGCAGGGCGCAGAGGGGGCACTAGAGCTAGGGAGGGGCAGGCCTGTGGGGGCCAGGGTGGCGGGCGGCTGCGGTTCAGGCAGGCCTTGCTCCCTCACCATAGCTGTGCCGGCCTGGTCCTCGGGCATGCAGCCTCTGTCCTGGGCTCGGCGGCGGGCCGGGCCTGAGCCCGCCCCCAGGCTGAGCCGGCGCGGGGGCTCCAGGAGGATCCGGCGAGCGGCGGCTCCGGGCTTGGCCCAGGCCTCGGCCTCCTTCGCTCAGAAGCTGGAAGGGCAGCAGCCGCAACAGCAGCCGGACCCAGAACGCAAACTCCGCCCCCGTGGGGGCCCGCCCCCGCTCGCGAGCCTGCGCTTGGCCCCGCCTTCACTCTCACTGCGCAGACTCAGTCGGGGAGTCTCAAGCGGGCGTCGGACTTTTGGTTGCTCCAGTTTCCGGACTCTTAAAGGATTCACACACCTTCCAAGCCTCTTTTTCCTTTATTCTTCCTTTAAAAAATAAAAGCTTTAAATATTACGTCATAACAGAAGACTAGAGCACTCACTCGTTTCAGTCACCTGTAGACCCCTGTGCTTCTAGTTCATCGTTATTCATTACCATTGTCATAGTTCTTGGTGATTTCAATTCTCTTAGATAATTCTTCCAGTGCCCTGGCCTCTCAGGTTCCTCTCCTCTAGGCATCACCCTTGCCTCAACATCTCATTTCCATGTTCATACCTTAGATCTTCTCATTACTAGTAGTTGTAACCCCTCTATAATCTCAATTTTAATTATCCTACTCTCCCATCACAAACTCCTTCCTTTCTAGCTTTCTTCCTCTAAGATCCAACTCCAAAAATTCTTCAACTCCAAGACCCAGATCCACTGATCCTACCACCTGCTATTCCTCACACTACCCTATGTCCTCATTTCCTTCCTTGAAACAGCTTAGATTCTATTGTCCATTATGAAAACCGTTCCCAGGTATTACCCTTCATTTCTCCAGTTCGGCTCTCCTTTCCTTGTACTCACCTGACGAAATTCCAATCCTGAACCTGCAACAAAACGGGGGAGAGTGGAGAAAATTCCCAAACCATACTGACTGGTCTTCCCTCTAAATTTGATATCATTATCCTCAAATAGGCCCCTAACGCCTGACTATACTATAATACTACATTATTCCAGTTCCATATACTCACTCACCCTACTAATAACTATTTCACATCTCTCTATTCAAATCTTTCTCCCTTATCCTCACTTAACTGATTAATTTACTACCAATTCAATGAGAAAATGAGGCAAAAAAAGAGAACATCTACAAGTTCCCACCAGCTACCATAACTTTCAATTACCTGTAAGTCTGCTCTGCCTGTAATTCTGCTCCTATCCTCTGCCTTCCTTTCCTTACTACTAATGATTTGTCTTTTAGCAGAGGTTAAACCCTCCTCAGGTTTTCTCAAAATACTTGGTGTGGTTTTTTATTCTCAGTCACAAACCCATATTTTTGTAAAATGCAATAGCAATTAATTACTAAAAAATTAAATTTAGCTTTCTGTCGGTGGATGCCGCCAAGTAAACATCGTCAAGTCTCCCTTCCTGCGGTCGTCATGTCTAAGTCAGAGTCTCCCAAAGAGCCTGAACAGCTACGGAAGCTCTTCATCGGAGGTTTGAGCTTTGAAACAACAGATGAAGAGTCTGAGGAGCCATTTTGAGCAATGGGGAACGCTCACAGACTGTGTGGTGATGAGAGACCCAAACACCAAGTGCTCCAGAGGCTTTGGGTTTGTCACCTATGCCACTGTGGAGGAGGTGGATGCAGCCATGAATGCAAGGCCACACAAGGTGGATGGAAGAGTTGTGGAACCAAAGAGGACTGTCTCAAGAGAAGATTCTCAAAGACCTGGAGCCCACTTAACTGTGAAAAAGATTTTTGTTGGTGGTATTAAAGAAGACACTGAAGAACATCACCTAAGAGATTATTTTGAACAGTATGGGAAAATTGAAGTGATTGAAATCATGACTGACCGAGGCAGTGGCAAGAAGAGAGGCTTTGCTTTTGTAACCTTTGATGACCATGACTCTGTAGACAAGATTGTCATTCAGAAATACCATACGTGAATGGCCACAGCTGTGAAGTAAGGAAAGCCCTATCTAAGCAAGAGATGGCTAGTGCTTCATCCAGTCAAAGAGGTCGAAGTTGTTCTGGAAACTTCGGTGGTGGTCGAGGAGGTGGTTTTGGTGGGAATGACAACTTTGGTCGTGGAGGAAACTTCAGTGGTCAAGGTAGCTTTGGTGGCAGTTTTGGTAGTGGAGGATATGGTGGCAGTGGGGATGGCTATAATGGATTTGGTAATGATGGAAGCAATTTTGGAGGTGGTGGAAGCTACAACGATTTTGGCAGTTATAACAATCAGTCTTCAAATTTTGGACCCATGAAAGGAGGAAACTTTGGAGGCAGAAGCTCTGGCCCCTATGGTGGTGGAGGCCAATACTTTGCCAAACCACGAAACCAAGGTGGCTATGGCGGTTCCAGCAGCAGCAGTAGCTATGGCAGTGGCAGAAGGTTTTAATTACTGCCAGGAAACAAAGCTTAGCAGGAGAGGAGAGCCAGAGAAGTGACAGGGAAGCTACAGGTTACAACAGATTTGTGAACTCAGCCAAGCACAGTGGTGGCAGGGCCTAGCTGCTACAAAGAAGACATGTTTTAGACAATACTCATGTGTATGGGCAAAAAACTCGAGGACTGTATTTGTGACTAATTGTATAACAGGTTATTTTAGTTTCTGTTCTGTGGAAAGTGTAAAGCATTCCAACAAAGGGTTTTAATGTAGATTTTTTTTTTGCACCCATGCTGTTGATTGCTAAATGTAATAGTCTGATCATGACAGTGAATAAATGTGTCTTTTAAAAATTTTTTAATTTAATTTAAAAGCAGACATACTAAATGTAAGCCTAGATTTTTAATTTTTTTTTTACCATTGTAACCATTTTAAGTGTACAGTTCAATGGCATTAAATACATTCACAGTAAGTGCATTCACACTCCCATGGAGCTCCGAACTCTTTTCATCTTACAAAACTGAAACTCTGTGCTCATTAAACAATAACTCCTTATTGCCTCTCTGCAGCCCCTGACAACTGCCATTCTACTTTCTGTCTCTATGAATTTGACTACTATAGGTCAGATTTTTTATAATTAGATCCCACAGACATGAAATTTTTTGTCAAACTACTACAAAATATATATAAATATTTATTCTAAATTTCTGCCACAAACTGGTGACAAACAGTTCCTAGACCATCACTAGTCCACAGATCACACTTTGAGTAGTACAGTGCTAGGTCCCGTACTGTTTCATTTTCTCAAAGATGTCCAAGAGATCCAGCAATTCTTCCTCAATTCTCCCTCTCATCATTTTACCGTTTTTCTTTCCCATTGACATACCAACATGAGTTTATTTCTTCCATCTCAAAAATAAAAAAATAGACCTCTCTTGACCCAGCTTGACACTCTAGCTACTGCCCCATTTCTCTGCTCTCATTACAGCAAATTACAGACATTACAGCAAAATGTCTCACAAAGGTGACCTGCACTGTACTCAATGTCTTGCTTGACTTCCTTTTCCCCATATTCTGTGGGACCCTGTGTAGTTAAGCTTCCACCTCCACCACTCCACTGAAATGCTCTTGTCAAGGTCACCAGTGATGTCCATTTATTAACAACGGTTAATTCTTAGTGTTACTTGACCAACCAAGGGCATTAGACACAGCTTATTATTTCCTCCCCAGCTACCATGCCCCTCCCCTCCCTTGGTTCTATCTCACTGACTGCTTTTGGTTTCTCCACATATCCCTGACTTCTAAACACTGCATGCCTCAGTCAATACTTTAACCTTTTCCATTTATACTCACTCCTTGATAGTCTTATTCCATCGCAGTACTTTAAATATGATCTATATAGTGATAACTCCCCAAATTACACCTCCATTCCAGATCTCTCTTCTGAATTTCAGATTTATATATTCACTGACAATTAAACATCTTCCTTTGTATGTCTAATAGATTTCTATTATTCCTGGTAGACACCCAATAAACTTCAAGTCCTACTGGCCATGAATAAACCAACCAATAGCAAAGGGAAAAGACCACCAATATTAGCATTGACCAACCATGATTTACTCTCTATCTGGTCTGGGAATCACTTTCCCTGAGGACCTCGTGGAAGTAGAGGAAAATCACCATTAAAAAAATAATAATAAAAATAAAAAATAAATCGGGCCGGCCGAGTGGCGCGATGGTTAAGAACTGGCTTGGGATGCCAGAGGGCCCCGGTTCGGATCCCACATATGAGGGCCTGTGACACTGCTCTCCACAGCTAAGATGCTGAACAACAGCTCAACCTGGAGCTGGGCTGCTGTGGGTCGCTGGCGACAGCGTAGGCTGCAGTCTCCTGTGGCAGTAGGTTGCCATGGGCTACCGTATGTTGCCAGCAGCCAGCGTGAGCGGCCAGCAGCTGCAGTGAGCCGCTGTCCAGAAGCCGGCGACTGATCTGCCTCGCCTGGGAAGAGCGCAATGATGGTGCCAACTTGGGCCAGTGAAGCGACGTCCTCCACAACTAGACCGAAGACCAAAACGATAGCAACTTGTCTGTTCCTCTTCCCCAATTCCCCAGCGCTGTTCCCATCCCCCCAATTCTCCAATAAAAATCTTAAAAAAAAAAAAATCAGGGCTTTGCCATCAAGAAAGAATGGAGCCACAGTTGAACTGTAATCAGTGAGACAGAATAGAAAGTTCAAAACTACATCAAAATATACATACTTAGGAATTTAGTATGATAAAGGTAAATTTTCAACTCAGGTAAAAAAAAAAGCGGAATTATATTTGGTGTTAGAATAACTGGATAGCCATCTAGAAAAATTTAACTTGGATTTACACCTCACACTATTCACCAAGATAAATTTCAAATACATCAAAGATTTAAAAGTAAAAAAAAAAAAAAAACTTGAGGGAACAATGGGGAATTATAATGTCAAAGTGAGGACAGTCTTTTGAAGTACAGGGTATACAACAAAACTTAGATGCTATAAAAGACTGATAAATTTAACTATGTAAAAAAAAGTCTGTAGGCAAAAAAGCACCTTAAGAAAAGTAAGATGACAAATAACTATCAACATATGTTTGTATTTCATTTAATAGGAAAATGGATAATTTTCATATTTACATACAGAGTTGAAATCAATAAGAACAAAAACCAGAGGGGAAATATGTACAAAAGACATAAACAGTTCACGAAAAAAAAAGTCCCTTAAATACTCACTCTTATAAAAAGAGAAA